TTTAATGAACGCTGTTAATTGAATTTGGACGTCTGTAAAAAAAACGAGAGGTGGGCACGGAGCTAAAAGGGGCATTCTCCAAGTCTTCTTGGCGCATCTGCATGAGCTGATGCATCTCAGTCCTGACCTACAACACCTGATGCTGATTCAATCCTTAAGTCTGCCACTGTAGCTCATTCTTGATGGATACCCAGTGCCGCTCCTCCAAGCCTGGCATCTCCGCAGAGCTCTGTGAAGACATGCCTCCAGCCCGGCAGCACCCACCGCTGAACAGCTGGATAGTAGATGTGCAGTTTACTGGGCCACTGCTGGCCTGTGTGGGAAAGTCACACTCAGGCTCACTCCTCTTGCGATACTAGGGTTATTTGACGCCAGGTGTGAGGGGCGCAGAAGCTGTAACCCCCCTGCACATAAGCCCCTAACACACATCTTACTGAACCCAGAAGAGAGCCTTGGAAAAGGAGTGATTTTTTTCCTCGTGCCCCTGGACCGGTCTATGAATCCTTGCCTCTGCTTCATGCTGCTCCAAGGTGTGTAAGAACTCAAGTGTCAAATATTGGGAAGCAGGACCAGACGATGAAAGGTTATTACAGTGCGCGAGGGGGCCGTAGCTGAAATTGCAGCCGGCAGGGACTCTGCCGGTAGGACAATCAGATGAACGGCAGCGTGAGGGTACAGCCACCATGCGTCATGGGACTCCAGGCTCCGAGATGAAACACCTGCTCTTTCCACGTCATTACAACATAAACCTGACAGCAGCAACTTCTAAATGTGCAAGAGGATGAGCTTGATGCAGAAATGGTACAGCTGCTTTTGGTTGGAAAATGCCTCTATTATCAAAGCAGATTTCTGACTGTGCGACAGGGATCTTTATGTCTTTGGCCCACTCGCTTGTGCCTCATCACGGGTGGTGTAGGTGAAAATGCATTTGCTGCTGAGACATTAGGGGAGCACACCTTTTTTGGAGGACCTTGCACAAAAAAAGTGTTTTTTCTTTCTTGCTATTTTATTTATTTTAGAGTCTGCTATGGAAACAACCCCATCACTTTTCCACCATCATGAAATCTGGACGACCTTCCTCATGTTTATGTATCATTTCTGGCACATCTACTCTAAGGGAAAATTTCCAGTCTGTGTCTTTAATTAGGGCAGGGATTTTGCTTTCCTTCTAGCCTTCGGAGACATTTTTATTGGGCATTTTCAGTTCTTTGAAGGGCATTTCTCAATATTTACAGCCTCGGGCTTTGCAATGGATGGGCTTTTCTACCTTTCTCAGCGGTGACCCCTTTTAAATCAATAGGTACCTTTTCTGCATAGCATTCAAGGGAAAGAAATACTACCTATCCCCTCTATTTTGCTGAACTACCACATCAGTGGCACGAGGGTCTGCAAGCTCAGAGGAGCTGGCGAATTGTGTATGCAATCATGCAATGGGATCTCCAGCTCCAAATCACAGGCCTTTGCTGGTTGGGTTAAAGGCTCACGTCCTTAAGTCAGTCCAGCAAGCAATCGGGAATGGCAGCGGGCAGCTCTCCGAGGTGGATTCTCACACGGGGGACGTGCAACCTGCCTTGCCGCAGCTCCAGCTCGTAATGGAGTTTGCACTTCAGGTATGTTCCATTATTTACCAATTCTCTCCACATCATTTTGCTTCACAATTAAGCAAATTAGTGATTTGATGAATATTTAGACCCTCTCGCCTCATAAGAGATGAGTCGCAGGCATCCCTGCTGAATTCTCCTCCGAAAAAGATTTCGAACCTCGTTTACTTTACCTCCCGCCTGCGGGGGCCGTGCGAGAGAGAACACGGCCCCCCGTGGAAATGTGCACGGCATCCCAGTTTGGAGCAGGGGCACTGGGTTTAGAAAGGCCTCACAGCTCCCCACAGCCTCCTGCCTCCAGTCTTTCAATCCAGACCCAGCATAGTGCCAAGGAAAATAAACTGAAGAAATGGTCTAATCCAGCGGCCCGATGCAATCTGGGACAGAGCCCTCGATCGTGGCCCTTTATGGCAGTTGCTATAACTGAATTGCTATAATCAGATGACTTAACTGCAGAGATTTTCTTTGTGGGGGGAGAAACTCCGTACTCTTTTCCTAAACTATTTATTCTCAGGCCTTAAATAACTCTGTAGCCAGGGAATGTATTTGCCGACTCCTGGGTTTGTACTGCAGTTTAATTATTGTTGGCAAAGACCCATCAATGGGCTAGTGTGATTAGAGTAATAATAAAAACAACTGTCATTGGGAGACCGCAAAGCCCTTGGACACAGAGATCGGTATCACCAGCTACGTTTTACAGAGCGGGAGCTTGCTGCACAGCAAGGGGAAGCGCCTGGTCCGTGTTCACCCAGCTGGCTAACGACCGAGCTGGGAATGGGACCCAGCTCCCTCGTGACAGCCCTGCTGGAACTGGCTCACCCGCATAGCACAGGCTCTCTAATGCAAAGAGCTAACGACGATTCACCTGCAGACCAAGGAGAATGAGACAGATGGACCTGAGCTCTATCCTTGCCGTCACTAAGCAGCTCCGAGCGGCTGAGGCACACGACAGGGAAAACTGCATGAAACCAGGTGCTCACGCATTTATTGCACTAACCACCTACAGCTCCCAGCCATTTCATAGCATCTCCTGATCCTCCCTCTTCCTCGGACTTGTGCATTACCTTTCCTGCTACAACAGGTTGTACACGCGACTCCAATCCAAGGAACGGCATTAGGATCCTGGTACCCAGCTACGGCACTCTGATGGACAGCTGGGACCGAGCTCTGGGTAATTCGAGGAGAAGCACGAGGTAGTCAGAGGGTGCAAATGCTCTGGGCATCCCCTCTGCAAGCAAAACTGGCCTCAAATGGACTCCCTGTTCCTGTATTGGACCTTTGGGTGCTCTGGCACATGAGCCCCCACCACCATGCCCTGCGTGCATCACGCGTCAGACTGCAGCATCGTGTGCACAGACCCCAGCTAGCACTGAACAAGCAGCCTCTGGTGTTGGAGCAAGGGTGCTTTGTTGCTATCTTTGATTGGAACAACTGTATAGTTAAGAGAAATGTGAGACAGGCTTTGAGCACAAAAGGCCCGTCCCTTAGGTCTGTGCCCTGCTGTGGCAGCACAGAGCTCCGCGCGGGCTAATTTACCCTGCCAAGGACCTTGCAAGGATGGCCTTACGGGAGCTGTCTCTAACTGCCCTGCAGCACAGACATGTCCTGAGACAGGAATCCATCCCTGCTGATGAGGGAGGCTCTCTTTACCACCTGTGCCAGCGGCCAGGATGGCAGGCAGGGGATTTCCGTGCCCACAGATGTGCGTGTGCCACCGTGCCCGTTAGCGGCTAAGAGGTGACCTTCAATGACATCCGGACCTCTTCATACGACTCCCCCGCTCTCCCTTCCTCATCGCCCTCAAGCCACCAGCCTTATTAATCTGTATTATGCAGTCATGAGTGAGAGCCACTAAAAGGCTTAACCGAGTCAGCGAACCCAGGAGCCTGGCTTAGTGGTTGGGACCCCTTGTGTTTTCCATCTCCGAGAGGAACGTCGCGGACTGGATGCCTTACTGCTGAGGTCCTGGATTATTTACACTGCGTTGGCTCCCTCAAGCAACAGACTCCAGTGGACTGCAGGCCATAAATTTCCATCATAATCATTTTGGTTTTGCTTTGTACAGTGTGGTCCCTCTTTGCAGAGGGGCAGTTTATCACGCTTATAAACAGGTTCAGAAGAAGGGCCGAGCAGACAGTAAATAGTGAGGAAGCCTGGAAACGCTGATGCAGGCAGGGAGGCAATGACTCAGTCGCTGACTCTCTCTTTCTGCATCCCCACTTGAAATCTCACTTTGGGCCAGAGTGAGTTAATAATCACACCTCACAACTGGCTCACGAGTCGGAGGAGTTTTAACAGTCTCGCACTAGTCTTTTGTGAAGGGAAACAGTCTCCAAGAAACTGCTGCCTGCTTTGTCACAACACAACCAGCTGCTCCTCTTCGGTGGGCTACAGAGGAAGAGAGAGAAACCCTGGCAGAGCTGGAGCATGGGGGGAGAGGCAAGTCAAGAGTGAAGTGCATTTGCAAAGCTTGGGGATGGCAGTGTGCCTCGACCAAGGTATTCACATGATCCCCCAGCACAGATGCCGTCACCAGCACAACAGCACTGGGAAATGGGAAAGTGCCACCTCTATTTTCCAAACGGGGACCCGAGGTACAGACTAAGTGCCCTGCTCAGGATCACATAGGAAGTTTGTGGTAGAGGCAAGAATAGAAACCAGGTCTCCTATTAGTGCAGTGCCCGGTTCACTAGCATGTCTGCAGGAGGGTGCATGTAAATGCATGTACAAGACTGGAAAGCAGGAGTGGCTTCCGGTCAAGACTCATAAAGCTCGAGGGAACAGCAGCTGGGGGTAGGATGGGTGAGCAGGACCCGACGCAACCAAATGCTCGGTTCTGCTGGCCAAATTTGCTTGTACAGCATCTGCTCGAAGCACGTCCCGACTCTGGCCCTGGGCACTGCAATCACTCATGCTCATAAAAAGTTTTAAAACATCACTGAATCCAGAAAGAGGAATAGCGAAGGATGCTCCAGCAGAGCCATGCATAATCAGCTTCCTGCCAGACAGAGAGGGCAGCGAATGGCAGAGGCTTGTGCGTGGGGGACACACTTTCTGAGCAGACCGAGGTCCAAATCCCAAAGCCATATTTCACCAGTGGCAGCTCAACCCAATTTCCAACTCTTGCAGACAATAGTGTGCTGGCAGGGGGGGGAAATCTTTTCCCC